CAGAGAGCCATATACAAGAGGTGAGGTGCTTTCCACACGAGTCTTAAAATGGGCCAATCACACTTAAAGATGGAGATTAATGGTTCCAATACTAATCGTGACTTACCCCTCGTGCAGCCTTAGCAAGCTCATGTAGTGAGTAATAGTGATTATTAGTACTAGTTTATAAGATGCTTTCCTGATTTGTCAAAAAATATGCATGTAAAGCAACACACGGAATGAAAATAATATAATCCACTGTGTTTAAACAAAGATGAAAACATTTCTACACACATGTAGGTTCTGATGATATTGTGACATGCTCATTAATATGAACAATTTGTATTATGATGAATGGCTAGAATACAGAGAGCAGATATGACAGGATTTTAATAACAAATGGGATAATTTTCAACAAGGTTACACTTTCTGCAGAATATAATGAATTTAAAAATTAGTACAGATTCAGTTTTTAATTTGTTAATCACATTTGTTCCTGTCTCCATAGAGGCCACTAAAAATGGTGGCCCTCAGGTAAAATCAGGTAAGGAAATTCTACCATTTTAACTACATAATGTAGTTATGTAGGAATAATGTAATACACTGGACCCTCAGAAATTTGTACCTTCATATATATAATGAATCAAATCTGCCCACTGGATTTTCCATCCAAAATTTGGATTTCCAGAAGTTTAGACATTACCTTTAACCCTTACACTGCTCAGGGGTCCTTGGGACATTTACACCCCTGTGCGCAAGAAAAAAAAAATTCAAAAAAATTTTTTCGTCTTCTAAACATGTTAATTTGTGTCCCCTGAGCACGGAAAAAATAAAAAAAAAATCGTAAGTGACATATTTTGGGCGCAATTGACCGAGGAAGTCTGGCAAAAAGTGGGCGTTGACAGAGCGGTCGTCAGACCTGGTCAGCGTCACCCGCGCTGACAGATGGGAGTTGCCACAAAGATATTATTACCTAATTGTTTCAATGTCTCCGATTTATTTTTTCTTAGTTTTTTTGCAGTAATATTATTCAATAGTGTGTATTGTAATATATTTATATAATAAAAGTGGTGAATAATCGCTATACTCAAAAGTATGATGTGCATATTAGTGATTCAATTATTATGTTTATAAAACCATACACAAATAGTTTTGCTGCTATTACACTCTATACACAGGTTATATATAAGTATCTGCATGTTTTGGTCACCATAACGAACCACTAAGTTGGTATTGAGAGTCGAAAGGCAACGAAGAATTACCGCCACACACCAGCCAGCCACTCGCTGCCACTCCCTCAACACACGCACTAAACTTTCTTCCCCAACAATACCATTTGTGGTGTTATTACACTATATACAGACGTTATATATAAGTATGTATATATTTTGTCCACCACAACTGTACAGCTAAGCTGATATAGTTAGTTCAGGCACTATGAGTCGTCGCTATACACAGATGGCGGCTCCCTCACTCTTTCAACGTCACACGCACTAAACTTTCTCCCCCAACAATACCTTTTGCAGTGTTATTACCCTATATACACATATTATATATAAATATCTACATGTTTTATGCACCGTAACTGTACACCTAAGCTTGTAGTGCACCCAAAGAGCATAGTGGCCACCCTCTAAACAGCTAGACAAATCGTGCAGACGACGTCACCTCCGTCACCCATATGGCTCCTCCCAGCATAATCCTTTTGCTGTTATTACACTAATACACACATTATATATAAGAATCTACATTTGTGTTCACCATAGAGAACCACTGAGCTGGTATGGTGAATGCAAACAATAACAGCTAGCCACACAGTCAGTAAACGATGCTGTCTCCCTCCATCTCTCAGCATCACTCCTCCCACAGCGCTAATTATTACAACAATCCTGCTATTATCACAACCCTGGTTATTTATATCACAGTCATGGGTCATCTGTAATATTGTCATCGCTAAATAATAACAATTATATATTTATTTTCACATTTTTCGGCGATGCTGTGGTCACAAGCTGAACCGCAATGCTGTTCGCTCATGCTGCGTGCGCCGGCCTTGGTTGCTCCAACAGTATTGTGCCTCTCACACCTGAGAATATTGCCCACGATTTTTTTTTAAATGGCATCTGTTTACAAGAGCCCTGAGGAAGCTACTGTGAACCCCGTGTAGCCGCGGGCCATTTGAATGAGGCCTGGCACCCTATGGCGTATATATACGCCATGCGCACCATGGGACATGTTACTCATGGCGTATATATACGCCATGCGCACCATGGGACATGTTACTCATGGCGTATATATACGCCATGCGCAGTTTAAGGGTTAATCCTAATTTTCCCAGGAATACAACCTGCCAAATCGTTTAACAACCAGGTACCCATTCACTGCTGGGTATACAGAAGCTACAGTTAAGGAGTGGCTCCTGGTCAATCCTCCCTGGTCAGGATACAAACCAAGGCCAAAGTGCTTGCAAAGCGCTGGGCGAGTGTTTTATCACTGTGCCACGGGGACTACTAAAAGGTCTTCCGACTTGATTACTTCTAAATCTTTAACACTGCTTTCCCTGTCAATAGTGTGGTTTGACTGCATTTTATGTGGATTCCATTTTGATATTTAAAGTTTTTCCATATCACACTAACTGGGACTTATCCCCATTAAATACCATACTATTTTCTGTGGCCCATTAAACATCATACTATTTTCTGTGGTCCATTAAACATCATACTATTTTCTGTGGCCCATTGAAAAACACTTATCAGATGGGAGGTTTGCTGTGTCCTCTATATTGTCTTGTCTCATGAAAATCCTAATATCATCCACAAAGGATGATACAGTACTACAGGTTGTATCCTTGTCTATGTCTGAAATGAGGATGAGAAAAACTAGCAGAGCAGGTAAAGTACCTTGGGGAACAGGTTTTCATGATGAAGGATCCACAGTTTACTTTTGTTGACTCTGGGATGTTTGATAACAAGTTAAAGATCTATCTCCCACTTTCTCAGCAATTCTTTCTGTGCACAATTTGTGTGCAACAACACCGTGGTCACATTTGTCAATAGCGTTTGGGAAACATGTGTGCATCACACCAGCATTTTGCTCATCTTCCATGCATCTATGGCATGTCATAGTGATCTAGCAATTGTGAGAGGCAGGAGCATCCTGTTCTGCACCCATATTGCCCAGAATATGTAGATGTTGTGATTCATGTGTTTTGTGATCTTATTTCTTAGCACTCTTTCAAAGATAGTTATGATGTGTTATGTTACGAGCTATTGGTCTATAATTTTTTGCATGTGCTTTACTTCTTCCTTTGTGAAATGGCATGATCTCCGCTGTTTTAAGTATGTCAAGGATAACACCAGCATCTAGGCTCCATCTTCAAAACATGTTTAGGGCCTTTGACATTTTTTTTTTTTTTTTTTTTTTTCAATTCTTTAATTAAGAAAATAGAATTCCTGGAGTCTGGGCCTGGTGCAGAGTGTACGAGCATGCTGTTTATGGCTATTTCAAAGTCCAGTGGGGTTTCAGTGACATCTAATGGTGGTTTCGATGATGGTGTCACATTCATAAAGAATTTGTTTGGAGCATTGATCTTAAATGTGTTTAGGGGGTTCACTGAAAACAGAATAGTACTGTAGGCTCAGTATTTCACTCATTTCTATGTTGTCATCTATGAATGAAAACATCACCCTTGCTAATGAGCCCAATGCAAGATGTAGTTTTTATTCTAGATTTTTCATAGAAGAAAAAGTATTTTTGATTCCTCTTTATTTTACTTATGGCCTTTTGCTCTCTTTGCCTCTACTAGATTTTATATGATTCTTACAAATTTAACTTGATAGTTTCTATTTCTCTATACAGCCTTCTTTATTGTTGTTGGGATAGAGTGGAGGATTTTTCATCTGCAATTTTTTTTTTCTTAGTGATATTGTAGTGATTTGTAGTGAATTCAGGGATGTTTCAGGATGCACTAAGCACAAATATGAAACTGGTACTGTATTGTTGCTTCTTAATTTGCATGTAATAAACTTTACATACTAGGTCTATAGGAACTAAAACAATGACATACAGTCATTCATATTTAGGAATTACCTGAATAATGCTAATTACTGAAGTAAATTAAATGTTTGACATCATGGTCTGCTCTCTGTCTAGTAACTCACCTTTTACGATAATGAAAACTATTATAACACATGATTCATGTACAATAATTGTTGGCAAAGAACGTAATGTTGAAAAGTTGATCTTTTCATTGCATAAGAAACCATGAATTTTTAACAAAAATTAATCTATAGTTAAATAAAAACTTATAAATACTGTATACAAAATAGTTATAGGAAACAAAAATATAAAAATATTTCTTAATTAACACTTATCCTCGTCTTACCTACCATGATTGAGAATTGTAACGGCAATGAATTTTACTCCAATATATTTTGAAATTACATTTATTCTGTGGTTGACCAAAATTGCATACAGCACAAAATCCAAGTCCAATTATCAAAATTAATGATAAAAACTTATCAAAGCAATATGAATTTATTGTAGTTTTATGTACCCATTAATATACATAAATGAAGAACATAGTTATTGATTACAATCAAAGGCAACTAAAACCCAAGTCCTGTGTTTAAGATCTAATGTCAACCTTACCTGAAGGTGTGTGTTAAATGTTCTGTGTTGGTTAAAGTTTATATTTTTGAAAAGGCAGCATTTTAAATGATTCATTAACAGTAAACAAACAGCTCGGCTTTAAATCAAATGAGTATTTTAAATTCATATTTTTTTTAAATAAGGATTTTAAAAAATATACCAACACATCACAAGTGCAACAGAATACATTGCTGTAAATAAGGGCATGCAATTAGCTAAACACAGAGCTTAATATGTCTAAAGTGGATTTAGTACAACCCTATGGATTTAAAACCACAGACCTAAAATGAGAATTTCAAAATATGAACATCAGAATATGGGCCAATGTACTTGACAATTTTACTAAAATGATCTACAAATTTTCTTCTTACCCAGAACTCTCGCTGATAAGTTCAGTCAAATGGTACAATATATCCACCTCAAGTGGAGTGATTTGCGACATCATCTGAGCCGAGTGCAGAAATTCCTCTGAAATTCAAGTTTTATTCATTAGTATGTTGTAATGTCTGGCTTTTATTTAAATTAATTTCAATGTTTCATCTTATTATTTATAAGTTCGTTAATTTGTATTAAATTCAGTGCTTATTTTCGCTTGTTCAATTGCCAATACATCTCCAATACATAATGTATTGGAGATTTTGTTGAGGTTAGTGAGAGTAGCATTATAATTTTTTTTATTCCATATCTTCCCATCCTCGGCCACTTAGAGGAGACCTGGGGCCAGATTCACGAAGCAGTTACACAAGTACTTACGAACCTGTACATCTTTCCTCAATCTTTGAAGATTTTGGTTACATTTATTAAACAGTTTACAAGCATGAAAACTTGCCGATCAACTGTTGTTATTGTTATAAACAGCCTCCTGGTGCTTCGGAGCTCATTAACTGTTTAATAATTGTAAACAAAGCCGCCAAAGATGGAGAAAAGACGTTCAGGTTCGTAAGTGCTTGCGTAATTTCTTCGTGAATCTAGCCCCTGGTTCTGGTTGCAGGTGGTGTGGTGTGTTGGGCTGTGCTGTGAGGAGACCACCTCCATACTGAGGTGTTTATCTCGGCTTTTATTTTCACCGAGAACTGCACATAATCTGGCAAGTGATATTTAAATCTAGTTTGTGTTCTCCGTCACGTGTGTAAACAATGTACGAGCTCAGTAACTTGGAGTCTAGTAATCTGAACCTATGAGTAATCCTGATGAATTCATGACCAAGCTTTTGATCTCTTAACCCGAATAGAAATTCAGATTACCGAGATTTTGACTGAACACCCAAATAATTCAAGCTCGAGTTCTTGACCTTTCAATTTTAATAAAAATTTTGGTTACTGAGATTTTTGTCAAATGAAAACCTGGATAAATAAAAAATGAATTTCTGGACTGTCTCTGTAAAATAGTTGGCTAATTTGGATGTCTGGCTAATTTGTAGGGGAGTGGGTCCAGTATGATCTGGAAAACTGAGCTTAGACAGAATACATATGTAAATGTATGCATTAGCTGGCTTATTTGAAATCTTCTATTCAAAATATCTGTAGTTGTATTTGTTTATTGAATTCCCTAATAAATATTAAATATTTGCAAATTTACTTTCAGGTATTCCTTAACTTTAAATTATGTAAATTATCTGTAAGATGAATCCCTCTTTTAATTTCAGTGTTTCTGCTTTAAATCAAGCTCCAATCAATAAATAAGCATGAAAATATTCACAAAACTTCACTAGCTTCAAACCAGATATATAAATCTTATGAATATGAGGAAGAAAGAGAGAGATATATAAATAGTAAGATGACTGTAATGAGATGCCTCTTTCTTGTAGGGTCTCAGTGGCCCCCCCCTCACAGGGGAATAGGGAGTGGCAAAATTTCTTCCAAAACCAAGCTAACTCTTGCACAAAGAAAGGTTGAATTATCTTTAGATGGTTCCAATTGTTATCTGTGATTACCTTTTGTGTTAGAAATGCAAAATGCATGTTTTTGTTAGTTTTTTATGTGCACGACGATATAGGAATTTTAATTAGCCGAGCGGTTTAAGGGTTATACCCATGAAATTGCTCATCTTCAGTGGATCTTCAAAGGATCTTCAGTAGTATTGCATCTCTTAATTCAACATACCACAATGTAGAACAAAAAACATGACATGCTCTTTTACCCATTGGATAATAATCCTATAGAATTTCTGTATATGTCAAAACAGTATTTCTGTTCAAAATTCAGCTGGAAAAAATCACCATGGAAAAAATTACAAAAGGCTTAAACTGAATTAGAAACTATCGTAACTGTTTCCGTAGTGAGAACCAAATTTTGGACCAATAGTTGCCTGACAGTACAATAACAATTACAGTAAGCCTACTGCAGTATATTATTGTCTTTATTTCTCAGAGTAAAATCCATACGATCTATATTTTTCAACTTCTCAGCTTTTATCATCTATGCTACTGCATTTAAAAGTCTTACAGATGTATAATTATGATAAATTCCTTACATTCCTCAAAAATGAACTTAAGGGTGTTTTAATAAGATATGAGTACCTCTAGTTATTTCCTGGGTGCGGGAACCCCCTGATGCGTTGAGGTAAATACGCTTGCAGAGTTCCATGTTGGTAAGTAATGAATTAAATGCCATGAAGAATGGAAAACTCACTTTATGACCTGTTGCAACCTGAAAAGAAAAAATAAATAATCTCAGACACAGTAGCAGTAAGGTTGGTATGATAAACATATTCATCGAACCTCTGAGTAAAGTACACAAATCTGGATTCGACTCCTCATCAAGCAAGATAAATTTGGAGGGAACCGAGTATAATTACCTACAGAGTCACAAGGCTCATACCTAGAGTATAGAGCACTTAGTCTGTTTTCTATTCTTTGACCAGAACAGGAGTTTCACAAGCCACACCCATTTGCACTCCAGGTCATCGGAGCTCACATCCCTACCGACGTCTAATACATTACTAATAAAGTTACAATTCGAAGAGGGGGGAATCATATATAAATACCCAAGAGGGTAACATATATAAAAGAATATAGTACCATATATGCAACAATGATAACAAAAACACTGAGCCAAGTATGGGGAAAAGTTAATTGCAAAAAATTAGAAAATGCTGAATACATTTTTGACTTAATTCGTCTTCATCAGAGCAAGACAGAGTGAACCATTTAAATTTTTCAAATGTGGTTTTTCCGCATACTACCTCCCCAACCATCCAACTTGGTTGGGCATCATTCCTTTCCCGGTCCCATCCCATATCATAGTCCTGATCCCTTTCAAGTGCTATATAGTCGTAATGGCTTGGCACTTTCTCCTGATAATTCTCTTCCACATAGTACCATACACAGTATATATTAAATTGTATACTATATTGCATAATATTACTGAATATATATAAACAATTCATTATAAACACTATATATGCATGTTTCTATATTAGTTTTGAGATAGAGATCCTTGGAAAAAGCCCAAAAATATTTTAAACAATTGACATACTCAATCTCTAATATTCATTGCTACTCCAAAAAGAAAAAAAACTACAGTGAAAAAACAATTTTCATCACCTATGTTATGTTACACTTATTTTATGATCAGAATTTAGATTCCTTAAAAAATCACAATCACACTTTCCCACTTTTGATAAGATGGACAGACCGGCACTAACACTCAAAAAACATGAGCAATACATGAAAATTAATGGGTATCCATTTGCCCTATATTCCACACTAGTACGAACTGAAGCATCGTATAATAATATACAAGATAATATTGGCTTTGGGCGAGAGTAGCGAGTAAAATGCATGGTGTGGAATGAACAGTTCTTGGGTCAGGAGTAAGGTTTTTCAGTTTTCCAACTTTTCCATCTACTTACCTATACAGTAATATGTACAAGTCCTCAGCATTCCACGTAGCACTTAATAGGCCACGTTTTAGTTTGTTAATTCTGGGATGCTTTGCATCCAGTGTTGTGTGGCAGTATTCCTTATTCTTTATAGGATGGCATGAAGATTACCTTTTAAGAAGGGCCTGTTATTCAATCTCCATTTCATTTTCCAGAAAAAAAAATCCAAGCACCCTTAGATTCTTTGCTGACCTATATGTTTCGCTGGAAACATTTAACACACGTGTCTATTTCAAGTCCAGTGATCCAAACAACTTAGTAATTTTAAAAGTTTCCCTTCTTCATACCTAAAGCCAAAATACAGAACATATCACCAATTTTAATTTACAACTTAAATTTCTACCCTCTGTGACCCTGTGGCTCTGCTTCACCTGGCACTTCGCCCTTACTTGATTTACAGTAGTTTTTATAAATTGACTATTGATTGGTGTGTGCCACTTACCCCTAAGATACACATTAAATGACTTAAAATATAGCCAGAACAAAATGTCCATAATCTGTAACATGAAAACCCTTTACCTTTTAATTATGATGGAAAGGAAACTATTTACTCTGAATATTACTGTAATTGCAAAAGTATAAATAACTTATTCAAAAATAAAGTACAAGACAATAACTTACTGCAACGAGATTATTTTGTACAGGAACGGTGAGCAGATGAGATTTAACGCTGAGCATGATGTCGTTAAAGTCCATGGCAGTGATGAAGCCAGAGCCTTTCTTGTCATAAGATTTGAAGGCTTGCACTGCATGTTCTTCATGGAAGTCCTAAATTAAAGGCATTATCAGATTTTTAATTTCCTGGAATTTCACTATCAGAATACAATAAAAACTTGGGACATATTAATACCTACAATATCTCAAGTCTAATCCTGCATTATTTTTTTTTTGGAGGGGGAAGAAAAAACAGCGTTGAATGTAATGAAACTCCATTTTCTGGGTGAGACCCGGAGGCTCCCCAGAGCTATCCAGGCTGATATGTAACTATTAGCTCTCTGGCATCAAGCAAAGTGCATCGAGTTCTTGCCTACCGGGGACCACGAGCCAGAACCTGGCCCCCCTCAGAGAGGCACGAGGAGCAATGGCCTATAGAAACCCCCGTGTAGTTGGGAGCATTCTATGTCTGCCATCGACTGGATATGGCACCCAGAAAGATAGGCACCCCAAAACAAACCCCTATTCTGGTGAAAATATTGCTACCGAAAGTCGAACAAGTGGACAAAACTCCCCCAATCACGGGGGGATTGGGGGCAATGTGATGATGCATGACATCACATTGCCGCGCCTCTGTCTGCGCAACCCCCTCCCCAGGAAGGGGAAGGGGGAGCCCCAGACCCTCGCACCGGCAATCCAACCGGCAGTTCTTAGGCTGGATGTCAAAAACACGGGAAAGCATGAAGTTTTCGGAGAAGAGCATGAAGCTCCCCGAACTGACCCCAGAGGCCAATGCCAACAGGAAAAGAGCCTTAGAAAAACAATCCTGAACTGAAGGGACCACAACACACCAAGGAGAAGAGAGAATAGAGATCACCCGGTTCAAAAACCAGGACGGCTCAGGAGGCGCATGAGCAGGCCAGAGGTGATACAATGCATGAGACAGCTTGTGGAATGGAGCAGAAGTAACATCAAACCGAACGCAAGCTGGAGCGGCTCCGCCAGCGCCGCACGATACAAGACAGTATTCTGCATTAAACGATGGTCCTGGAACAACCACGAGAGAAAGGACAAAATAACTATCGAGAAAGGACAAAATAACTATCAGAGACCAGAGTACACCCAAGCAATAATAGGAAAACCGGAAGGACTGCCAGGAAACTTCATACTGCTGCTGAGATGAAGCATGCAGGTAGGAGACCAACAATGAAGCCACCTGCGCCCCATACAAGTGATAAGACTCGAGTAAAAAAACTCCAGACGCGAAGACTCGAAGAGAAGAATGAACCAGCCTCGTACCGGGCTGGACTGATCTGCTGAAAGAGGCAGAGCCATGGGAGGACTCTCGGGTTCTGACACCGAGCAAGCAACTCCTGAAACCACAGCTGGGCTAGCCACCAAGGCGCCAGAAGGTCATCTCTCCCCTGGTAAGTCTCCAAGCAAGCCAAGACCTGGAGCAACAGCTGAACTAGGGGAAAGAGGTACAGGTAACCCCACCTCGCCCAGTCCTACCTGTAGGTGTTGACCCCGATGGCCTCACAGTCGGGGAAGGGCGCCACGTATACTGGGAGATGCCTCGACCACGCCGACGCAAAGATATCCACTTCTGGAAGCCCGAATGTCTGGCAGAGCCAACTGACAGACCCTGCCATCCCTGGCCGGCCTGGTGAGCGCTGGTCACAAAGCCCCAGTCGAGAGATGTTGCGTCCATGAACACATCGAGTGAGGGCTCGAGTAGGTGCCAAGGCACTGAACCACGAAAAACCCGAAGAGGAAGCCGGCAATGCAGCAACTGACGCAAAGACCCCGGAGGCCAAATCCAGCAGTCATGAGAGAGACAAAAGGGACATTCCCAAAGGAACCAGAACAGCCGACGAAGCCACACCCGACCCGGTGGCTAGATCATCATGGCAAAGTTCAGGTTCCCGCACAAACTCTCAAGCAACCACCACGTGACTCGGAAGCCCCTCAGGAACAGACGAAGGTAGGAACCCACGCAAAGCAGAGCTGCCGGAGGAAGAGACAAGGAAGCGGTCCGAGCATCCCACACAAAGACCCAGCCAAGACTGAACCTGAGAGGGAACCAGATGGGACTTCCGCCAGTTCACCAGGAACTCGAACCCGGCGAACTGGGAAAGAACCAAATGCCTGGTGAGCAGACACCCGGACTGACTGGGAGCCCAAACCAACTATTCGTCGAGGTAGGCCAGAACCTGCCTACTGACCTACCGACATCACTAACAGTCGCAGGCGGGTCACCACGACCAGAGTAAGGCGTGTGAAAATGCGAGGCGCCAGATTCAAGCCAAATGGAAGGCAATGAAAGCGGTAACCTTGATACCCCACAACAAAACTGAGCCAGTCCCTGAACCTCGGATGAATCGGGACATGCCAATATGCGTCCTTGAGTTCCATGGACATCATCCAAGCACCCAGCTCAAGCAGAAGATGGACCTGGGACAGTAGTTATTTGAGAGGAGGGGCAATAAACCCACGGGTTCAGACAGCACAAATCCAGAATGAACCGGAGGTTCAAGCAATCGCATTTTGGGACCGGAAACAGGCGGGAAACCCACCTGAGGGACGGGGTCGTTTCAACCACGCCCAAGCGAACCCACTCCGAGATGACTCGACAGTGCGCAGGAGAAGACGTTTGCCCCACCAGCCCTGAACCCCCAGGAGGAGGAGGAGCCACTCTACGCCACTGCAGGCCACATGAAACGACCTAAAAGGCCCACAAATCGTGGGACCAGGCATGAGCAAACAGAGCGAGCCTCCCCCCTCCCATTGTGCCATCAATGGGATGAACCGCATAAGGGCCGACGCACCTTACAAGAACCGAAGCGGCGCATAGGGCGATTCCCGCGCTGACCAGAAAAAGACAGAACCGAAGGCTGCGCCTGCCCCAAATCTGGCACCAGTGGCCTACCATGACGGGAAGAGACCCCGAGCCCTGGCACAACCCTTCCGGAAAGGCCCCCCCCCCCCCCCCAAGCCACCCGGAGAACTAACAAGTCGGACACAGAATGTCAACTAGCCGAAGCTGCCTGCAGATACTGCACAACCGCAGACTCTGCAAACAGCAGCAGACAAAAAGGCAAAGACAACCTAAGAGCCAGGGGACCAAGCGGATTCCAAGAAAGAAAAGAAACAACGCTTGTCGGCTCGCTTGGGCCGACAAGCGAGTTGAGAAGCAAAAAAAAACAAAACCGCATCCCGCCGGAGCAACGCAAACAGCTTCAACAATGCAGACGATGCACGCACCGCCGAGGGCAATGCACCCAGAGGTGGCCCCAAGCTTCTCCATATCCAACTCAAGCCATCGAGACAGATCGAGGAGGGAGAAGAATTGCAGGGCCGAAGCCAGCAGGCCACGTGTACGCAAATCCTCCGCAACCAAGGCAGCTGAAAGGGAAGGAACCTGCACATGAAGCTGCATCACACCCACATCCTGCAGAAGGGCATGGGTGAACAAACATGCATCGAGATGCTCAAATTCACCCTCCAGGAAAACCTGCAATGCCGTCTGAGCCTCTCTCCACTCAAGCACGTGGGACCGACAGAAAGTGTGCCAAGCCTCCAACGAGATGAGCAGGCAGTCTGCTAACCAGGACGACTCCGGTACTTTATAACGAACCCAGTACAGACAAAAAACCATACACGAAGGAACACGGATCCATCACGAAAGCATAATCCGGGTCGCACAGGAGGTAAGCCGCAAGGGCTTCCCACACCACATGTGATGGGGTGCGAGAAGCCAAAAACCTTCGGAAAGACGGGACCAAGAAACCCACGGGATCATGGAACCGAACCCGAGGAGGGGTAAACGCTAATTCAGATTCGTACGAGGAGGGAGAGAAGGAGAACCCCTCTCCTTGTAACACAAAGCCTCGCTCCGACAGTACAAAAACCCAGGTGAGGTCTAACGGGGCCCCAAGGCTCCCAAGTCAACCCCTCCCTCGCTACAGGAACCTCACCCTGGGGACTTGAGGCTGAGCCATCCTCCAGACCCCCCACCTCAAAAGAAAAGGCAGGAGCAGCCTAAACAGCAGGAACAAAGGGGACCCACTTGTCAGACCAAGAAGCTCCGGCTGGAGGACTAGGCTCGAATGCCTTCGCCGCCACCCGGAAGGGGACTCCCCCGAGACCGCCCAAGTTTTAACACCAACTAAACCCTGCCCCGCCTACCATGAGGTTACCTTGAGGTGCTTCCGGGGCTTAGTGTCCCCGCGGCCCGGTCGTCGACCAGGCCTCCTGGTTGCTGGACTGATCAACCAGGCTGTTAGACGCGGCTGCTCGCAGCCTGACGTATGAGTCACAGCCTGGTTGATCAGGTATCCTTTGGAGGTGCTTATCCAGTTCTCTCTTGAACACTGTGAGGGGTCGGCCAGTTATGCCCCTTATGTGTAGTGGAAGCGTGTTGAACAGTCTCGGGCCTCTGATGTTAATAGAGTTCTCTCTCAGAGTACCTGTTGCACCTCTGAGTTTCAACGGGGGTATTCTGCACATCCTGCCATGTCTTCTGGTCTCATGTGATGTTATTTCTGTGTGCAGGTTTGGGACCAGCCCCTCAATTATTTTCCACGTGTAAATTATTATGTATCTCTCCCGCCTGCGCTCAAGGGAGTACAGATTTAGGCATTTTAGTCGGTCCCAGTAATTTAGATGTTTTACTGAGTGGATTCTAGCAGTAAAGGATCTCTGCACACTCTCCAGGTCAGCAATTTCTCCAGCTTTGAAAGGGGCTGTCATTGTGCAGCAGTACTCCACTCTAGAGAGCACAAGCGTTTTGAAAAGTATCATCATCGGTATAGCATCTCTAGTGTGAAAAGTTCTTGTTATCCAACCTGTCATTTTTCTTGCAGTTGTGACGGCTACTTTATTGTGTTCTTTAAAGGTAAGGTCTTCCGACATGAGTACACCCAGATCCTTTACATTGCCTTTTCGTTCTATGTTATGATTTGCCTGAGTTTTGTACGTGGTTTCTGTTTTTATATTTTCAATTTTTCCGTAGCGCATGAGCTGGAACTTATCTTCATTAAACACCATATTATTTTCTGTAGCCCATAGAAAGACCTGATCTACATCTGATTGGAGGTTTGCCGTGTCCTCTATGTTGCCAACTCTCATGAAAATCCTAGTGTCATCTGCAAAGGATGATACAGTGCTATAGGTTGTGTTCTGGTCTATGTCCGATATGAGGATGAGAAAAAAAAAATCCGCCTCCAAAATCCTCAGACGTTTCAGAGCCAGCAGCAAAGGGGAGAGGGGGGGGAGGGGGAATCGAATGAACCACTGAAGGGCAAGGACAAGGAGGGGCGGACAGAACCAATGTCGAAGCGACTCCCACCCCAAAGTCCGGGTCCCTATAACCAAATCGGGGCAGTCTCGGGGCATCTGGGGAAGCAACGAACCTATCACACTGCAGCAACCTAAACCGAGCATGCAACACCTCTGCTGCCTGTACCCTCACCCTAGCTTGGGTGAACTGGAGTATGTACAAAGAACAAACGTCGCACAACTCTGGGTTAAAAGAATCACCGACCCACAGACAGAATGGCAGAGGCACCACCGGTGATTGTCACCCACCGGTGATTGTCATAAGGGGACAGAGCAACCATCAACCTTGCACAAAGCAAGAGGGAAATCAAGGGTCGCATCCATCGGACCACGGAGTCCCCGTGGGGTTTCCCAGGGCCCTTAGTCTTGGTATCACGCTAAGGGGAAGCCCAGGCAGGGTATTGCAAACTGGCGCCCAAGACTACCAAGCAAACTTCTAAAGCTGAACCCCTAAAGCTGAACCCCCGGGACATGTTCACTCATGGGGGCCTAGCAGGGGGTATCACCAACAACACAGAGATGTCTAGAGAAAGGCCTCCCCCCTCAATTGTAGAAAGGGGGTAGCCAACCAAAGACAGGCCCCCCCCCCGTATTGTAGAAAGGGGGCAACCAACCAAAGGCAGACTCCCCACCAGGCAGGAAACAAAAACAAAAGAAAACCCCCGCAAGAGGACAACGTACCCAGGCGGAACAAAGTCAGCCGCTACAATAGGTGAAAACTAGCTGTGCAGTACCCCGCACCCCTACCAGTGATGAAAACTACCTCCTACCAAGAGACAAACAAGGAAAACAAAAAAACCCTGCCGACTCCAAGGGCAGCCAAGTACCGAACAGTAAAAGACACAGCAGAGGTAGGCCTCAAGGTGACTTGTGGAAGGTGGCCCCAAGCCCCGAGGGGCCACATACTTCCTCAAGGGTAGCATTTACAGGGCACCTAAGGAAGGAAACCCTAGGCGCATGCAGCCCGAGTACCGTAGAATAATACTCCTGACCCACACACAACCTGTAGTGGCAGACCATGCCACAAGGTACAGGAACAGAAAACAAAAACTGGAGCCAGAGGCACCTGACCAGCCAGTATCACATCAGCCAAGAACTGCCGGTTGAATCGCCAGCACGAGGGTCTGTGGCTTCTCTTTCTCCCTTCCTGGGGAGATGGGAAGGTTGTGCAAAGAGCGGTGCCTCAATGTGATTATGTCATGCTCGTTTGCTAATTTTTGTTGGGGAGTTCTGTCCACTCGTTCGGCTTTCGGTAGCAACATTTTCACCAGAATAGGGGTTTGTTTTGGGGCGCCTATCTTTCTGGGTGCCAGACCCGGTCGATGGCAGAAATAGAATGCTCCCAATCACATGGGGGTTTCTATAGGCTATTCCTCCTCGTGCCTCTCTGAGGGGGCCAGGTTCTGACTCGTAGTCCCTGGTAGGCAAAAACTCCATGCACTTTGCCTGATGCCAGAAAGCTAATAATTACATATCAGCCTATATTGCTCTGGGCAGCCAATGGGGCCCCCCCCCCCAAAAAAAAAATAAAAAATAAATAAATAAAAAAAATTAATAAAATATAAAATAAATAAGGTAAACCCCTCTCTTTCTCTCCCCCCCTCTCTGTCTTCCCAATCACTCTCTCACTCACTCACTCTCTCACTTTCTCACTCACTCACTCACTCTAACCAAATAACTTACATGAAGGAACTGACAGAATTCTGCATAGCTGATGACGCGTTTCCTTTCTTTCCCAAAGTACATCTTTACAAATTCACTGTCAAAGTCAAACGGTACTTTCTGATGAAGGATTGTCTGTTTGATCACCTCAACGAACTCGTCTGCAACAAGAAGACACAATGGTTACATATTCAGGGAGGGATTATTTAACAGTAGGGAAAAACAGATTGTTGTTGTTTTGTTCTATCACTAAGTATGACGATTAAAACTTCAAATCCAACTTCACACTAACACAAAAATCTCTCGTAAATGCATTTTCGATGTGATATTTTTTGAACTGTGCAGATGATGAGTCACAATAACATGGCTGAAGATATGATAACCAAACCACTCACCAAAAGGGGAAGAGACAACGACGTTTCAGTCTGTCCTGGACCATTATCAAGTCGATTGTGTTCCAGGACAGACCGAAATGTCACCATCTCTTCATCTTCTAGTGTGTGGTTTGGTCATCTTTTTAAAACTGTGTTTATACAGAAATGATAATGCTATTACTGCATATTTATTCTCACATACACAGACCAAAACCTTATACATAAACTTATACATAACTTATACTTATACATAAACAGATACAGTACATTAAAGCTGTAGGTCTTATACTGCAGTTGTCCATGTTAATTTTGCTTCAGCTATTATTTTTGTGAAAATATCCTATGATGTTATCTCTCTCTTTAAACCAGCTGTCATGATTAAAGCAAACTAAAGGTAATATTCCTCCATTTTAAATTAGAATTTTTAATTACAAATAAAATAATAATTGCTTCAAATTATCAAATTTTGATTTTAAAAGTAAAATTTATTTTATCTACTTATTTATATAACAAGAAGGTATGGTAGTAGGCATCCGTCAGTCTCAGGAGACTATGGAGTTGCACTCTGGTTGTCGGTCTGGAGTGGCCTCTCCAGGGCGCAAAGCCAGGGTAGATTGATATGGCGGAGAAGGTACAATGGGTTGTAAAAATACTTATGTTGGTAATCAAGCGGTGCATTCTTGTAAAGCCACTAGCACGCACAGCATTTCGAGCAGGTCCTTAAGCTAACAAATAAATGTAATGATTGGTACATTGTAACAAAAAACTTAAATTCACATAATAACCACCTCATCATACAGTGATAAAAATTATACTGATGAAGCTGCATTTCTACACTGTAATATACTGATTGAGATAGTAGAACAAGGTTATCTTGAGGTTATCTTGAGATAATTTCGGGGCTTAGCGTCCCCGTGGCCCGGTCCTTGACCAGGCCTCCTTCTGTTACACACCCCCCCAGGAAGCAGCCTGTAGCAGCTGTCTAACTCCCAGGTACCTATTTACTGCTAAGTGAACTAAGTGAAGTGAAGTGCATCAGGGTGAAAGAAACATTTTGCCCATTTGTCTCCATCTCCACCGGGGATCGAACCCGGAACCTCAGGACTACGAATCCGAAGCGCTGTCCACCCAGCTGTCAGGTGCCCGGTAGGATAGAGGATACCGGTACGTAGAGGATACTATGATGATATTAGCTACAGTACTTCATTTTCTACTTTTGAATAAAGAATTGGTTAGACAAATTTTTAATTAGTTTCCCAGATTTTCTTAAAATGGCTAAAGTCATCCCAGTCCATAAGAGTAGTGATCTTGTGAAAATCCTAAATTTTAGACCAATATCAATCCTGCCAACTTTGTCCTTAATATTTGAAAACTAATATACAATAATAACTATTCCTTCCTAGATAAACACAATATGGTCAATATGGCTTCAGATCCCATAAAAGCACCAATGATTCTTTAATTAATATGCATGACCTGATACATACCACTCTTGACAAAAATGAGTATCCTACAGGTTATCCCACAGGTAAATTGTTGATGTGTGAAAATAACCTGCGTAAGGCTTTTGACACCTCTGCTACAGTAACCTCTCTCTCATATTCCAACACTATGGAAACACAGTGCACTCCCTTCAATACCCTCAATATTTGCAGTCTTACCTCAGTGACAGGTACCTGTTTGTTTTTGTGAATAATGCTACTTCTCTCACTTTGCCAATTAATATTGGGCATTCCACACAGTAGTATGCTCGGTCCAATCAGCTTTATCATATAAGAACATAAGAAAAAAAGGTAATTGCAGAAGGCCTATTGGTCCATACAAGGCAGCTCCTATATATAACCACCCAATAAATTACCCAATAAACCCTCCGTTGATGTTATCTACATCAACGATCTTCCAAATGCCACTCTACACCTGAAGCCAATTCTATTTGCTGATGATACAAACTTCATTTTCTCTCATGCTAACCCATTATTCTAAGTGACACAGTGAATACCGAATGAAAAAACTCCATTTGTGGCAAACTGCTAACACAATTACCGTTAACATCACTAAAATGTTTTACCTACTGTTTGGTAACAAGTCTAACTATCAAATTAACCTAAGAATTAATAATACCCAAATTATGAGCAGAGCAGATAAGAAATTCCTTGTTCTTCACATATACAACAAGCTGAATTTCCATTGCCATGTACAAAATATCCTGCACAGTATTACAAAAAGAGTTTCTTAAGACAGTTGGCACTCTCTCCAAAATCAAATATTACGAACCTTACCCTGTCTTGGTTACACTATTATTTCCTCATTTATCCATATTTCACCTATGGTATCTGTGCCTGGGGATCTACAACTCTAAATTATCTCTGGCCTCTAATTATTCAACATAAATCACCAATTGGAACAAACTGCAGTCCCAGACAACACTGGGCACCTTTACTGAAATCTTTGAACATGTTAAATATAGTGTCACTGCACATACTTTCAAGCATTCTCTATATCTATAAAACATCGAACTGCATTGCTAATCCTGGCCTTCTGTGCTTCCTAAAGGGCTGTAACAGTTCCCATGGACATCACACAAGAAACAAATTATCTTTTTGATATTCCTGAAGTGAAACGTGACCAAAGCAGAAACGCTATGCAAGGTCCCCAAACTGTGGAATGACCTCCCAAATATAATTAAAAACTGTACGTCTTCCAACCAGATTAATAGTTACTAAGATATATCTACATAATATCTTTTAACAAATTTCAAAACATATTTATTAAAAATCCATGCCTTTCATCATTACGAGTCATCAAATTAATGTACAGTAGAACCTCGAGTGACGACCGCCTCAAATGGCGAGCAATTTGGGTAACAAGCGCCTTGATCGCCGACAATTCGCCTCGTTAGGCGAGCGCTCGTTTGAATAACATCAACACATGGTGGGGTCACGCTGCTTCTCGCACATTCTCGGACATCTCCGACGATGCAAATCAATTATTTTTCTTTGATTAAAGATGCTATTGATGCTGGGATGTTGCAAAGCATTAATTTTTTGTAGAAAAATGAAATGAAATTAAAAAAAAAAAGAAATGTCAAAAAAGGTTCATTTGGTGTTTTTCCAGGTAGGCTGCTCCATGTTTCTTAAAAAAAAATGAAAAAAAAAAAAAAACAGTTGAAACAATTTGAAAAATGGACAAATGCCATATAGGTTCAATCAGTGTTTGTCGGGTAGGCTGCTTCATTATTGAGAAATGAAACATACAAAACAAATGGAACACATTTGAAACAGAAATATTGTCATAATGGAGCAGCCTACCCGACAAACACTGAACGAACCTATATGGCATTTGTCTGTTTTTCAAATTGTTTCAACTGTTTTTTTTATTGTTTTTTTTTTATTTAAGAAACGTGGAGCAGCGAACACCAAACGAACCTTTTTGATATTTGTTCTGTTTTTCAAAATTCTTCTTTTTTTTTTTTAAGAAACATGGAGCAGCCTACCTGACAAACACTGAACGAACCTTTTGCTATAAAAAATGAAAAAAACAAATTGAACAAATTTGAAGAAAAAAAATGTCATAAAGGTTTGTTCAGTGTATGTAAGGTAGGATGCTCTATTATTTAAAACATCGAATATCATATTGATATTTTTCGGTGGTGGAATGGATGAATTTGATTTCCATTATTTTAAATGGGAAAATTCGTTGTGAATGACGTCAGTTTCACATGACGACCACGGCACTGGAACGGAATAAATTTGTTATTCGAGGTTCCACTGTATTTATTTTTGCTAAATTTCTTATTTAAGTCATATACTGTATGTTATCATACGTGTTTATTATTAAGTGTTTACCCTGTTAAACCTTAGCATTTTCTAATTTATTCCATGTTAGTTTATGTTCTGGTTGCTTTCTAAAATTCACTTTTGTATATCCTTGCTGTTATTAATAACTTAAAAAAATATTTCTGAACTGTTGCTAAAACTAACGGTTCGATAATGCAGTAGTCTGCTTGTCGTACTTATCACCTTTATATTGTTATACAGTATTTCTTGAATATCTCATACATGTTAACTTGCTTTTATCAGAGTTATTCTAAGTTTTGCCCAAAATGCTCTGCATAGTAGTGATTTCATTTCATGTACAACCCCTGCACTTACAATTATACTTCCTTCCTAGGTTCTTTGTACACATATTATTATTATTTATTATTATTGTTAGGAAGTGAGTTCCATACATTAGGTCCTTTTTATTTGCATAGCATGTTTACAAAGACTTAGTATTCCTCTGGGAATATTAAAGAGATTTATTTCTCGTGTGATGCTCATTGGTTCTAGTACATCTATTTTGGAAGTTTCAAAAGAGGATTATACTTTAGGAATAAGGTTTTGTAAGTGTAAATAGCACAAGAGATTGCGTGGAGTGAATGTACTGTATATTTAGCATGTTTAGGGATTTAAAGTGATGGGCTGTGTGTTGTCGGAAGATAGAATTTGTTATAGTTCTGATAGATGATTTTTGCTGGGTGATTATGGGCTTGAGGTAGTTTGCAGTGGTTGAACCCATGTACAGATATTGCGAATTAGATAAATTATTCAAACTCCATCACTCCATTAGAGAGTGATGGAGTGTAAGAAGAGCAGAGTGGGGAACATAATACTTGATTCTTAATAGAATATCAACAGTTTTATAGATTTTTTGTTTGGCTATGTGTTGTATGTGAGTACTGAAGTTAGGTCCAATGTCTATGAATAGGCCAGGGAAATTTTTCTCATTTTTACTCTTTGATGTTGACATTGTTTATCTGAAGGTGTATTTGGTTCGACAATTTATTTCCATATAAAATGTAGTAGGTCTTTTCTAAATTTAGTGTGAATTTGTTGGCTGATATCCACGAGTGGACTTTTCTTTTTGCAATTCGTTATTTACAATATTATTTAGTATGTGTGGACTGGGGTTTGAAAAGACAGAGGTAGTCTCATCAACAAATAGAATAAGTTAAGAACATTTGAAACATTTGGCAAGTCATTTATGCATAAAAGAAATAGGAGAAGTCCTAAGATAACTCCCTGTGGCACTCCCATGTTTAATGGTAGAGTAAAAGAGGTTATGTATGTAATTGATAACTACTTCTTAGTACTGTTGTAGAGATATGATTGAATTACAGTTCAGAGTAACACCTCGAATTCCAAAATGATGAAGCTTAAGCAGGACGTTATTATGAGTTATGGTATCAAAAGCCTTTCTCAGTTCAATGAAGAGGCCAATTGGGAACTCATTTTTGTCAAGGGCTGTGGAGTTCAAATCAAAGAAGCTAATAATTACATCACTGATACTCTTTTGGGATCTAAAGCCGAACTGTACAGAACTTTTATATCCTCATGTAAAAATTTTTTACTTATCCTCTAATGGCCTTACCAGATTATCACACCAACAGCAGTACACTGTTTCCAGAAATGAAAATAAAACTAAAACAATAGCAATTCTTGCAACCTACCGAAGGAAACCATGCCCGTGCCTTTGGTATCAAAGAGCTGAAAGGCAGTCTTGTAGAGCGCATCAGGGACACATAAAAGGCCCTCAAAAGCATGGAACTCGGCAAATGAAATGAGGCCATCCTTGCTGGTGTCGAGGATTCCTCCCAGTAGCGTGATGGAGTTGGGGTTGAAGTTGGGTTCGGTGTACAGCCCAAGATAGTTTCGCACGAAGTCTGCTGCCGTCATGTAATGTTCTCCATTCTTCTCTACTGAGGCATACTGTAGAGAAAAGTTTTGGTTATTAAAAAACAGTAGGAGCAAGGGATTATTAAGGTTGATCATTGGTCAAAGAAGACAGTAATAAAGAAGACAATGAAAGGTTACCTGGTGCAGGCAAACAAATTTGGCAGAGGGACAGATTTACAGGGAAGAACTTAGGAAGCCTTTGATGGAGTCTGAGTACAAAATGACAACTAATGACTTTCTTGTAGTCTTAATGCAAAGGCAAAAGGCTGACTCTTGAGGGACACTGGCATTTGCCTTATTGCTCAAAGGAAAATACTGTACAAATTTAGTGAATCATGGTAATGCTGTACTGCAGGTGGTGATAAGAGAGACTGATGACAATCAGTGTCTAAATCCTGGAGTGCACTTAACACACTTGAAGACAGACAGGTTAGGTAACTGATAAGGAGCAAAGAAATGGGTGATATTCTTAAAAAGTATTTTGTATTTACTAGACAAAAACTTTATATTTTACCTGTAGTTAGGTCTATGTAGCCAGTGAGGAGGACAAGTTTACTTGATCAGTGACTACCAAATGAGAAGTTATTAAATAAATAAATTAAATAGACAGATTAAAACCCAACAAAGTCATGTCCTTAAAGTGTAAAGGTGAGTTTAGTGAGCACTTGTCTTGCATATATAATGTTGCATCATAGTCAAACAGAGAACTGGAATTGTGTTGCAACTGTGATGCCAATTTTTATGCAGGAAGATAAACAAGGAACACTGTACATCTCATCTTGGAAGTGGAGGGTTGGGTTGTTGTGGATTACTACTAGAGTATGGTGGTACAAGAACAACACTGTACAACTGGTCTTATGAAGCAGTAAGTGCTCTTGTGGAGTACTGCTGGAGTGTGGTACTAGTGTATTATTATACATGATTCTGTATACTGTATTTTGTATTGTGAATAAAACAAAAGGGAAAATTTTATTATTATATTACTGTATTATTATTTAATTCCTGTTTGTCTGGGAACAGAAAAACTTATCGAGGTCCTCCTTGCCAACAACCAACTTTATCCAAAATGCAACCAACAACAGTAGTCTAACTCCTGGGTACATATTTACTGCTGGGAGAACAGATGTGTTAGTTGAAAGGAAATGCACCAAACTTTCTGGCCTATCCTGAAATTCAACTTGGGGCCTTCAAATGTGAACTGAGGACTTACACAGATGAAGTCTCCACCCAATGAAACTGCTAAGCTTGGTAATAATGAACAGTACTGTGATGCTGAGAACCCATACTCCTAAAATGACAGTACATCTATAGAGACTGGATGAAATAACAACATTGCAGTAATATATATTTTTTCTTTTTGTTATGCAGTTAACTCATTTCTGAGGAAAAGTATGTTATTTTCACGCTCTCCTTACGTTTGTTTGCCTTGCAATGATTCCGAGGATCAACGTCCCCGAGGCCCGGTCCCCGACCAGGCCTCCACCAGGCTGTTGGACGCGGCTGCTCGCAGCCTGATGTATGAATCACAGCCTGGTTGATCAGGTATCCTTTGGAGGTGTTTATCCAGTTCTCTCTTGAACACTGTGAGGGGTCGGCCAGTTATGTCCCTTATGTGTAGTGGAAGCGTGTTGAACAGTCTCGGGCCTCTGATGTTGATAAGAGTTCTCTCTCAGAGTACCTGTTGCACCTCTGCTTTTCAACGGGGGTATTCTGCCATGCCTCATGGTCTCGTGTGGTGCCAGATTTGTGCAGATTTGGAACCAGCCCCTCTAATATTTTCCCTCTGTAAATTATTATCTCTCTTCCACCTGCACTCTAGAAAACAAGTATTTTGGATTTTTAATCAGTCCCAATATTTCAGATGTTTTATTGAGTGGCTTCTAACAGTGAAAGTTCTTTGAACGCTCTACAGGTCAGCAATTTATCCAGTTATGAATGGGGCAATATTTCACCCTAGAGAGCAGTAGTGTCCCAAAGTATCATTGGTATGGCATCTCTAGTTTGAAAGTTCTTGCTATGCAACCTGTAATTTTTCTTGCAGGTACGACAGCTACTTTATTGTGTTCTTGATAAGTAAGGTCTTCCAACATGATTATTCCCAGATGGAGGATGAGAGGGGAGGCGAGGGGAAGTTGGAGATGGGAGGAGGGAGGTGAAAGACCGGAGAGGGGGAGGTGGAAGACCGGGAGAGGGGGAGGTGGAAGACCGGGAGAGGGGGAGGTGGAGACGGGAGAGGGGGAGGTGGAAGACCGGGAGAGGGGGAGGTGGAGACGGGAGAGGGGTGGTGGAGACGGGAGAGGGGAGGTGGAGACGGGAGAGGGGTGGTGGAGACGGGAGAGGGGGAGGTGGAGACGGGAGAGGGGTGGTGGAGACGGGAGAGGGGTGGGTGGAGACGGGAGAGGGGTGGTGGAGACGGGAGAGGGGTGGTGGAGACGGGAGCGGGGTGGTGGAGACGGGAGAGGGGTGGTGGAGACGGGAGGTGGAGACGGGAGGTGGAGACGGGAGACGGGAGGTGGAGACGGGAGAGGGGAGGTGGAGACGGGAGAGGGGTGGTGGAGACGGGAGGTGGAGACGGGAGGTGGAGACGGGAGGTGGAGACGGGAGAGGGGGAGGTGGAGACGGGAGAGGGGGAGGTGGAGACGGGAGAGGGGGAGGTGGAGACGGGAGAGGGGGAGGTGGAGACGGGAGAGGGGGAGGTGGAGACGGGAGAGGGGGAGGTGTAGACGGGAGAGGGGGAGGTGGAGACGGGAGAGGGGGAGGTGGAGACGGGAGAGGGGGAGGTGGAGACGGGAGAGGGGGAGGTGGAGACGGGAGAGGTGGAGACTGGAAAGGGGGAAGACGGGAGAGGGGACATGGAAGACCGGAGAGAAAGGGAGGGAGGGAGGGAGGGGGAGAGGGGAGGTGGAGAGGGGAGGTGGAGAGGGGAGGTGGCGAGGGGAGGTGGCGAGGGGAGGTGGCGAGGGGAGGTGGCGAGGGGAGGTGGCGAGGGGAGGTGGAGAGGGGAGGTGGAGAGGGAAGAATTGAGGTTGAGAGGGAAGAAGGGAAGTGCAGAGGGAAGAAGGGAGGTGGAGAGGGAAGAAGGGAGGTGGAGAGGGAAGAAGGAAGGTGGATAAGGAAGAAGGGAAGTGGAGAGGGAAGAAGGGAGGTGGAGTAGTGACGGGAAGGGAGAGAGGGAAGGGAGGGAGGGTGCAGGAAGGGAGCGTGGCGGGCGGGCGTCTTTGTGTACCCTTGACGCCCTTCAGCAGCAACTCATATTTCGAGGTGTTCCTGTGGAGTTGTCTCCCTCTCTCTCTCCTCCTTTGCCTCCCTCCTCCGTTATCTTTCCCTACCCATTCCCCCCCTTTCTTTCTCTATCCATCTCATCCCTCTCTTCTTTTTCTTCTCTTCCTCCCTTCTTCCATTCCCTCCTTTCCTTCACCCTGTTATGTTCCGTGTCTCCTATTACCGTTCCAACTGTTCCTCCCTCCTCTCCTGCCTCCCTCCCAGGGCAGACATGATAACGACGTACAAGATACCTGGATTGGACCTGGATAGGGTTCCGGTAGTAGTTCTACTTCCCAAGCCCTGCCCGAGGCCAGGCTTGACTTGTGAGAATTTGGCCCAACAGACTGTTCCTTGGAGCGGCCCACAGACCTACATATCCACCACAGCCCGGTTGGTCCGACACTTCTTGAAGAAAACTTCAAGAAAACTATGAAGAAAAACTTGAAGAATACTAAGCGGAATTCAAAAAGTAGATATCGAAGCAATGTTCAAATTAAGGAACAGCAGAACGAGAGAAGATAACTGGAAACTGGAAATACGATAACTGGAAACTGGAAATACGATAACTGGAAACTGGAAATACGATAACTGGAAACTGGAAATACGATAACTGGAAATACGATAACTGGAAACTGGAAATACGATAACTGGAAACTGGAAATACGATAACTGGAAATACGATAACTGGAAACTGGAAATACAGAAGAGTCACACACACGTCAGAGAGAACGTTTTCAGTCTAAGAGTCGTATAGACAAGATTAGGAACGGTTTCCCTTGTACTTATCTCTTAGTGCCCTCAAGGCCGGGCTCGGGGTTTAGAAAGACCCGAAACCCTCTTCTGGTATATGCTACAGGTAGACCTTGCTTATGAACAAAGCCACAAGGGCCGTGACGAAGATCCTCGTCACGGCCCTTGTGGATTTGTTCATTTGATGCATCACGCTATTGTGATTTCTGTGATACCTGCTTGATGGGGTTCTGGGAGTTCTTCTAGTCTTCAAGCCCGGCCCGAAGCCAGGCTTGACTTGTGAGAGTTTGGTCCACCAGACTGTTGCTTGGAGCGGCCCGCAGCAGGTCCACATACCCACCACAGCCCGTTTGGTCCGGCACTCCTTGGAGGAAACAATCTAGTTTCCTCTTGAAGATGTCCACGGTTGTTCCGGCAATATTTCTTATGCTCGCTGGAAGGACGTTGAACAACCGTGGACCTCTGATGTTTATACAGTGTTCTCTGATTGTGCCTATGGCACTTCTGCTCTTCACTGGTTCAATCTTGCATTTTCTTCCATATCGTTCACTCCAGTACGTTGTTATTTTACTGTGTAGATTTGGGACGTGATATCTGATATCTTATTTTTCTCCCGGCCTTTTCTCCATATGTTGTCGATGGAGACAACATATGGAGTATCTTTAGTATCTTTAGTATCATCATCTTGATCACTTCTCCCTCCACCTCACTACTACAACAACTCCTCTATAACCCAGTTGAGGTCACACAATACCCCTCTATTTCCTCTCCACGGCGTTTTAATTAGTTTACTCCTCTTTCTCCTCTTGGCCTCTATTTACCTTCCTTACCTTGAGGTGCTTCCGGGGCTTAGCGTCCCCGCGGCCCGGTCGTCGACCAGGCCTCCTTCAAAGCTTCTTTGTACCCTGATTTACCTCCCTTCATCTTTCATTTGCTTCGTCTCTTTAATACTTCCCTTTAGACCCCTCGTTTCTTCCCCTTCTCCCATCTGCTTATTTGCAATTAACTCTTCACATTTT